ATGCCGTTAAATACCTTGCCATATTGGCGCACTCCGGGGTGAGTTGATGAGTATAAAACGAGCTTATATATAGTAGAATGATAATAGTGCACACGCTCTTCTAGAAAATAAATTCTCATATTTTATCTATATTATATGTACAGGTAATTCACAGTACAGTGATATGACAGTATTCGGACATATTGCTGTCAAGTTACCACTGGACATGCCTCTGTGTCGTCTTGTGTATTACGGGGTAATTTTCAACTGCCCTTGCGATGCAGTTGTCATGGCAGCATCTTTATCATTACAAGTGTGTCCATTTACACTTCCAACTATCTTGGTATGTCATAGTCACACTTTTCATCTATTGCATTGTGTTGTTGTGAAGGCATTACTGCTTCTTCTTGATTCATACACTTTGAGTCCGTATATTTTAAATTGTACTGTTTTAGTTTCTGTTCAATACGTGTGTCATTTGCTTGTGGGATTCGTGATCAAAAGAAGCCCATCATTTGAGGAGATGGATCTCTCATTTGAGTTGATGTCAACTGTTAACCTTGAATTTTAACTAGCAGACGACTCGGTATATTTTTAGGTAATAAAAGATCCAATAATGCTGATGGAATCTCTTCAACGTAGTTCGGAGTCACGTGCTATGTTCGATGAAGGTGAGTACAGTGAACCCATCATGTATACAAACATGTTCCACGCCTGGCTTAGAAAAAGAGTGAAAGCTACAGACAGACAATCTATTCAGTTAAAGATGAGTAGTTTCTGTAAAGAAAACTCGCTGATACCTAAGAGACTAATTGAAATGGAGAGTGCAGTATCTCTAATAGCATCCAGAATCCATCCATTTTTACCAAGCGACAGCAAGGCACGTGATGATGTTGCAAAGCTGCTGCAAATACTGAATGCTGAAGCTGATGATGAGGATAATGTTTTGGACGATGAAGACTGTGCTTACGGTGTTGCAAGCGGCGTCGATGACGATGATGACGTAAATAGTGTTGATGATGGTGATCATTGTGACAATGATACTGGTGCATGTGGTGGAGGAACCGATGATCTAGGTGGAAGTGGTGGTGGTGGATCTTCGACGACTGTCCACGGAAAAAGGTACACATTTGGCTCCGTTTTGAAAATATCCGACACCGAAACCATACACAAGAAGATCAGCAAAGGACCCCAAGGCGATGTATTTCCTGATCAAAATAGATTCAGATGGCCTAATAGCAGAGTTCAAAGACGAGCCAATGTGGCCAGAGCTCCTATAGCATCAACACCACGCCATGTTGATGCCCTTTTCTGTTCTGACAATATCTTACTCAAGGTACTGCAGGTGGCTGCATTCAGTCCAAACTACCTTATTGGAACACGTTCTAATAAAACAAACCAAAGGTAAGTCATTTCCTGGTTGTGTTATACGTGTGTATATGTGTGTGTATGTAGACAAATTCAGCTTGAATTGCATACATATTTCTCAAAAATGTTGAGGTAAAAATGGTAATATGTCATTAGATTATTTGTCGGTTTATTATTTAATCTACGATGGAACCTTTTCTTAGGATCTGGTGGTTTCAAAAACGTACTTCCATAAACTAATTACAACAGGGCACCCTATCCATATCATGGTATATTGTTTATTCAATCAAATACAAGCAGTTGAAATGTTTTTGGTAGATTGTATGCTAAAACTAAGAGTATGTACATTTCAGAACTAAAAACAACATAGACAAAGTCGGGTTTGATTTAACGAAGACAATTGTTCTCCATGATTGTGGTGAAATAAATGACCTCATGAAGACTGGCAGCAAGAGTATTTGTGATATGTATATTCATAAGATGTACAAACCGAAAAGATATCTATGCGGTTCAGGGGGTAAGTCACGTGGTTTTTACAAGGGGTATCACATATGCGTGTGTTGGCTCCATTGGGTTATACTTGTTTTTTTTTTATTTTAATTAATTTACTAATTTTTACACAAGCTTCAAATAAACTCATGTTCCTGGAATATGAAAATGGGAATTCACGGGATGCAACACTACACAATATCCCACCACAGGGACATTTGATAAACCAGTATGCAGCTGAGAAAATGAGACTAGATAGTCATAACAAGAAAGAGAAGAAATCTCGTGCAAGCACTATAAAGGAAGAAAACATAAAGGATATTGTTACTAATTTACGAACCCCACCAAGTCAACCCTTTCAGCTTGTTTGGAAAACGTTGAGTCAAGTGAGACAAATACAATGTGAGAATGAACGTTATATGTACTATTGATTTCATTTAAAGGCCAGTGGTCGTCGCGCAGCGCGTGCTCGAATTTCATATAAATAAACAATGTATTTTACATGCGTTGTATACGTCGCTATGAGTCGACGACGACTACCGCCCTTCAAGTTGATTTGTTTTGATACATGAACAACGTTCCTAAAACGATACATTTCAAATCTGTAAACAAAACTGCTATAATGATGATGTTTTCAGAACCAACTCTTTATTGAAGATAGATACTTCATACAGTTTCTTGTCTTGGCATCAAGCATTATATGGGCTCTATAGGCAAACCTATAGAGAAACAATACAACATTAAACTTTATCTAGATTGCATTTTGTATTGTATATTCTTACTAGATTATATTGTTATATTGTATATTGTTACTAGATTATATTGTTATATTGTATATTGTTACTAGATTATACTGTTATATTGTATATTGTTACTAGATTATATTGTTATATTGTATATTGTTACTGGATTGCATTGTTATATTGTATATTGTTACTGAATTACATTGTTGGTAAATATAACTCTGTGCCTAGCTAAATATATACTTTATGTGTATTAAGGTAAACTGGGCGATATCCGCAACCCTATTGGCTTCGCATGTGAATTACGAGACATACGTCACTTAGCAGTGGCAGCAAATATTAAAGGTAATACGTATTTGAAATAGTTCGACCCCCCTACAGCAACAAAGTATTTATCTTTACTAATCTACCTCTTTTAATATATTAATTTAATATATTGTAATCTGTCTGCTTACAAACCCTCATCAAATTGAAGTACGCTTTCAGTTTCTTTGTTGGAATAAGGGCCAATTTGAATTTTGTATAGTTTATTAAACCATCAAACCCTTCCAAATCCAACCAAATGGTCCTTATCCCCGAGCAACCCTTCGTATAATTCCAAAACACGATTAATTGTTAGTACACTCTAAAAACGTAATCTAGTTTGGTGATCAAGTCTAGTAGTTACAAATTACAAAACACTGATGGTGACTATGCATTTACACCTAGGAAGCGGCGGTTTCAGTCACATTGATGGGGCTACAGTGTTACCACCAGACTGTGATGGTGTACTAGCTGTGATTCTGCTGATGGTATTTTTACCAAGTCGTTTTGATATTAAAATCAGATTTGATAAATGCCAGATAACTGCCATTAAATTTCTAAATGTAAACAGAAAACTAGAGAAAAACCGGCCAGTCACGTAAGTATATATTATCTCAAAATATTAATTTTTCGTAAATAAAACTGACACATATAATAAATTATACACGATATCTTATGTATGTTATTATTGTATTACAGGTTTGAGATGTTTTACATCGTAAACACAATCCGCCTGATGGTATCTGACATACTTTTGATGAAATCCAACAGATTACGTGAAATTCCTAGTAGTGATATAGGATTATGGATACAGTATTTAGTGAATGTTATACAATCTGTCAAAGAAACAGGTATTATTACATTTTACAGTTATTATAGGAAATTGTATATGCAAACAAATGTACTTATATAAAAACACGAGATTCGAACTCGGGATCTAGGCAATCGCCTCGCTATCGCAAGCAGATAGCCACGTCAAACTTAAAACGCAGTTTGAAATGACGTATAGTGAAGACAACCCACATCGACTTTTTTAATGCTCAAGTCGAATGAAAATAAGTACGATTTTTTTTATTATAGGAATCAGTTATAGTGCAAAAACTGTCTTTCTTATGTAATTTTTTTTTCATTTTAATATGCAAATATTTCCTTTGTTATTATAGCAACACCCCTTTGTCATTGTGAACAACAATTCTTCGTTATTAGTCGTCTATTATTACACAAGAATTAAATTAATGCAAATAATTTGTTTCAATTGGATTTTGTTAAAATGCTCAATTAACAGGAAGAGGACGGTTTGATCGAAAGCGATGGTGCCGGTGCTGGTGGTCTGTTTATCAAGATCTCAACGAAAGTGAAAACTCTTCACTTGACGATGAAAATCGAAACGAAGGAGACGATGATGATGATGATGATGATGAGGAGGAGGAGGATAAGATGGAGGAGGAGGTAGAGGAGGATGTAAAAGAGGGCACGAACTATGCCGCACACGTTCACAATTCGATATTTCTTGAGGTGAAGAGAGTTTTGTATATTTATAACTTTTATTTATCAAATGAAATTTGTTTCATTTCCCAATTTGTAAGTTTTTAGTTTTCCCTGATTTTTTTATATACTTAACGGCAATTTTGTAAGAGTCAGCGATTTCTAAGAATTTAATGTGTTTCTATCTTTTAATAGCCGTTCAACTTGCTACCAGGTCTGGCAAAACTTTGGGGGATTGACTCTGACAATCTAAGGAAAACAACGGTGGAATCTTTTCACGCGTTTAAAGCGGAACAGAAGAAGAAATAGCATAAGATCATATCAATTAATCATGCAAATAAAATAACGTATATTATTATAAATCTGTCACCGTAACGCCATAACTTACAGCGTGTCGTAATATCGTGGTATTTTACGGGGTATTTTCATCCTACTATATTAGGAAATGCGAATTCCAAATATAGAATAATTCTAATAATAAAAACAAACATGGCTGCCACCAGGGTTTGACCGACTCCGCACAAGGAAGTTTGCTGATTCTTACAAAAGCTGAGAAGGACCTTCCTACTTCCAAGTTCCAACTTCCGAGTTCCGACTTATAACTTCCGAGTTCCGTCTACTAATTTCCGAGTTCCGACTTCTAACTTCCGAGTTATTATTGTTGCAAACCACAGGAGCAAAAAGTACCGTCATCTGTAGTGATGAAACTTCATAGTAGTTTCTATCATTTGTGCACAGAATTGTTTTGCATACAGGTTATGGGGTGAGATCAGCGCAATAATTATTTTTATATTATCTTTGCATTATGATTGGCAATGTCTAACCATATTTATATTGTCTTTGCATTGAATATATTCTACCTTGGAAAAAATGACCTGATAATATTCTACCCATAGTCCTTCATTGTGATCTACTTAGTTAAGACAAGTCCACTGATTATCATCTATCTGGGGACAAGTCGCCTGATTATATGCCCTGATTATATTCTACTTTGTGACACGTTCCCTGGTAATTCCTTTATTCTTGTGAGTCAAATATGTGAAAAGTGAAAACTGCTACCCAAACAGATTAATCATCAGTCTCACCTATACTTGGCGGACACTGACATTCACTTTTTTTTTTTCGGACATGAGGTATGGAAAGAGTGCAAGAAACGTTGGTTCCACTAAATGACATTAATTATTATTTTTTCAGATTCGATAGGTATATTATTAATCATGAAATTGACTTTCACTTTATTTTAAGGGTACAAATATAATTTTATGTTTCATGTTTTCCCCGAAATATCAGATTATATGCTTTAACTTATATATTTATGTATATATATATATATATATCAAGACTCCTATATTTACACATTTTAAATTTCCGACTTCTGACTTCCAAATTCTTACTTCCAAATTCTTACTTCCAATTTTCGACTTCACATTTCCACTTCTCACTTCTGAATTCGAACTTGAGAGTTCTCTCTTCAGACTTCAGATTTACCACTCCGTGCTTCTCATTGCAGGCCTCTAGGAATATATCAATGCATTATAAAAATAAAAATAATTTTGGCGCTGATCTCACCCCATAACCTGTATGCAAAACAATTCCGTGCACAAATGATAGACTACTGTCATGATTTATATTTCAGCCTAACGGTGGTTGCCATGGCATCTACTGATAGGGGTTAAATGACGAGGTCAGTCAGCTTGACAGTGGTTGCCATGACATCTACTGATAAAGGTTAATGACAAGGCCAGATGGCGAGCTAGTCGAAATCAGCCAAAGACATCTTATGAGTCTGCAGTTTTTAAAAGATTACAGTACGGTAGCTGTAATCCTACACCAATGTTGTTTGCAATTTTAAACTCATGTGGTATCTTTGTGGAATGTTATTGCAAGACTATTACCCCATAAATATTAGTTGGTGTTGACAATATAATAGTGGTTTTCTTAATAGCTTGACG